AGTTCCTAATTTGGATCTATACTCTAACTTACAGTATATGACCCAAACATTTAGGGTTCATTACTTTCTGTGTTCAAGACTCTCCTGTTACAAATAAATCAGTGAATCTTGTTTCATCTTCTCCCTACAATGAAACTAGTCCCAGTACAGCATAATAATCAGGGTGCTAGAGATAAGTAAAATGATGTATATCCAATTGGTTTATGTCTAACACAGAACTAAAAATCACAGTCTGTGCTCAGTTCCTTTAATCAAATTAGCTCTCCTGGTAACCTGTTCCCACCTTCTCTGATTATGAACCTGACCTCTGAGAAGAACAGAAAAAATATCAATTTCTCCAACCAGAAAGTGAAACATCTAGAACTAACATCTACTTCTAAAGTACATTCAGACATCTAACAACCCCCATAATTTAGTGGTTACCTATTTATTAAATTCATACTTAACTTCCATAAAATTTTCAGTATTTTTTATGTATGGGATTTCCAGGTTTTGCCTAGCTTCAGCAGATTTAGCATTAGGCTGCACATATTTTGACCACTAAAAGCTGCATGACAGCATGAATGCAGAATCTCTCTCAATGCTTAACTATAATGTCTGCAACATTCTGGATATGCATTAGATGTCAGCAAAGAGACAACTGATGTTACCACTTTGCTGATATTTAACAGAATAACAGAGTTGGAAAGGATCTTGGAGGTTTTCTAGTCCAACCCCCTGGGCAAGCAAGATACCATATACTATTTCAGATTAATGTCTTTCTAATATCTTACAAACCTCCAGTATTGAAGCACCCACAAATTCTGTAGGTAAATCATTCCACTAATTAATTGTTTCTAACTGTCAGAAAAATTCTCCTTAGTTCTATGTTGTGTATTTCCTTGATTAGATTCTGTAATTAGTTTCCATAATTATTTAAACATCTGATTTAATGGCTCTAGCCATACTTAAAACATTTTGTCAAAGCCACGTATTTTGGATTCTCCCTTTTCATGGATGGAGATGGGAAGAGATCAGAACCAAAAGTGGAAAGGACTGGGGGAATTACGGAACAAATAAAACCATGCATTTTTAAAAATACATATAATTTAATAGAAAGGACATCATTTCCTTAATTGTATTCTACTTGTTGTAATATAGGAATGACTATACACTGAGACACTCAAAATGCTATATGCCAAGATAATCAATAGGACCATTTATAGGTAACATGATATTTTTTTCCTGTCAAATTACCATTATGTTAAAAAGAATTAAGTAAAAATTGGATATTAGTAATTCAATGGTTTTGTTATGAGTTTGACATTGTATTTCTACAATATGAGAAGATCAATAAGTAGAAAGTTTAAAAGAGCTGAATTGTAGTAAAGAGATCAAAGGTTGATCCAATAGTTTTGAAAAATATAGCCTTTTATGGAATAATACAATTTAAATTCAAGAGCTTGGTACTTAATTCATTTTTACCCAAAGAATCAAATAATTGTTTATCCTTCAGTTCATCACTCAATATTTTCTCCTGAGTGCAATAGTTTTATGGTTTTCCAGAGAATATTTCATTTAATTTCTATTTGGATTAGTTGGTTCTCTGGATTTGAATTTCAAGTTTAAAGGAAACATTTGATGTTAATAACTTTGTATGTAGAGCTCTATTGAGTTTGGATTTTTTTGGATCCAGAAGTACTTTTCCATAAGATTATATTTTAGTAAATCCCTGTGTGTGGAAGTAAGATAAACACACATCACTGAGTTTGTAACTGCAATTAAATTATTGGATTTTTTTCCTCTGCACATCAAAATATATTTTGAGCACTGAATACATGAAGAGGCTGTTTTTTTCTTATTGGTCATAAGCACTTTACTAACACTTCAAGACCTGAAAACAGTTTTCTGTAATGTTAGATTTCAGAGAATGTTAAAATACATGCACTTGAAAAAAAAAATCAAATATACAGAACTCTAGGAAGCAAAAAATACTTCAAAGGCAATGGCAAACCAAACTTTTACTGCATCCTTTCCTCTTCAGAAGCCTGTAGAAATGGTGGCTACTTAATGAATAGCAGAAGGGGATTCAGTCATGTGAGGCTCATTTTTTGAAGCGTGCACAACCCAATAGGAAGTATAATGGCTTCTGTCTCTCTCAATAGATATTGTCTCTCTTCTTCACTATATTTTCATTTATTTAATGAGAGCTGTTATTAGCTGGTTCATAGACATATATATTTGAATTTGAAAATCCATACCAATAAAACAATAAATTATTGATTTTCAGTTTAAATATCTCATCTATAAAATGGAAATAATGACCCAGTTCACAGAATCATGGTGACAAACATATTTGTGAACTGTACTTCAAATACAAATATCTATCCACAGGAGACTGGCAGAAGCTATGATGATATCAGAAAGAAGTTTATATGTCATGATGTTATTGTCCAAATGACATAAATTACATACTTGCATTATTTTCTGACATCAGGGCACATGTGATGCGCTTTGCCTTCTCTATCAACTTGCCCCTTTTCCAGAAGTGGTATTCAGCAGGTTCTGACCAGTTCTAGAGAACTGATAATGGAAATTTTGAGTAGTTTGGAGAAAACTTCGTTCAGCAAATACCACCTCTGACTGGCCCCACTCCCATCTATTCTCTGCCTCCCAAGTCCCAGCTGATTGGCTGGGTCTTCTTTTGTTGCCCAGTACAGGAGAACTGAGCTGGAAAGCAGGTTAGTGGGTGGGAAGGAATGGGATTTTGCAGTAACCTTCCCCCTGGAGTGGGGTGGGAATGGAGGTTTTGCAGTATCATTCCCCTGCCACATCCACCAAGCTACACCCACCAAGCCTCACCCACAGAACTGGTAGTAAAAAAAATTGAATCCCACCATTGCCCTTTTTCCCATGGAGGTTCCCATGGATGTCCAGGTACCTATCACTGATTTACAAGGAATAAAGATGGGAATTTGCTAGGAGAAGCTTGATGTTTGAACATGTGGAGACAGCTGAGCAGGGAAATCTGTATAGACATAGCCTAGTATGAAACGCTCTCTGTCTTCTATGTAGGAAATAAATTAAAACTAAATTAGACAAATAATTTATTGTAATTCTCCATTCCCTGCTATCCTTAAAAACTTAGTTGGTGCTACTCTGAGCATACACTGCTTCATCTATTGCCTTTGCTTTTTTTTATTATATCTCACCTCTATTTTTGTGGATATCAAGTTTATGCAACCATATCTTTCTTCGTTTTCATTTTGACCAACCCATCTTCCTTCATATATTTATCTTGCAATTCAGACCTCATTCATTCACTCTGTACGACTGCCCATCTCAAGATATTTCTGTTTTGGGCACTCACTCTCCTTTTCAATCTTTATTTATTTTTCATTCATTTGGGTTTGCTCCTATTTTTTCCCCTTTCAGTTCACATAGTTCTTAAGTACCTTCTTCTCACTGTATTCAAATTAATTCTTATGTCTCCTGGCATAACTATCTCTCATATTCATATAATATTTTTATCAGCAATCATTCTGGCTTCTTCTGACAAACATTCATTTTTTGCAGCAGATCATATGCATCTTACTATCTTTCTTGAGTATCTTTATATCTCAAAATGTTTCCATCAATTTTTTTTCACTTTTGTATACATTCTATCAGTATGTGAAAATTCATCTACTTACTCTAATTTTTTGCCATTTATCTATGACATGAAATCATTTATTAGATTTTTCATGGTGAATACAACTATCTTGATCTTTGATTTTCAGATCCATTGTTATTGTGTTACATAAGCTATCTAAAATTTGAGGAGAATCATTCAAATACTCAGCAAATAGAACAGTACGGGTGCATACTAAGTGAAAATACTTGTATTTACTTCCTGACCATTATACTTTTAATATGACCAGGATTATCCCTTTTAAATCCATCCATAAATATATTAAATGGTGAAGAAGGAAGCACACATATCTGTCCTGCTACCTGTTTGTTGAACCACTCACTAAGTCTCTATTTATTTTCATACATGTTATGCTTCAGTAATATAGCTATGTTATCACATTCAGCAACCAATGCCCAAATTCTACATTCATACAATATGTTCTATAATTCAAGATTCTTCATTTTTAGCATATGGTTTACTTAAATCAACAAAAAAGCAACATATTCTTTCTTACAGTCATGTTCTTTTTCAATGATTACAGCCCTGTTTTCAGTTATGCTATCTTGTAGAAGATTTTATTTCCTACTTGAAATGTTTTATTTCAGTTATTTTATTTTTTATTGAAGAAGATGCACTCAACCTCTGTTAAACAAACAATAACTTATTACAAATGTACTATAAATGTATAGTCATTGATATGAATAAATTATGCTAAGTATTAAGATACTAGTTTAGCTTTCTATTGATAGGGCCTAAACAAATAACTAGGCATAAATGAGGGCCCAGGAGATCATTTCTTAATTTGTGAGAAAAGCCACTATCCTTGGAGATTAGACTGGCCTGCAAGTATTGATTGCAAATACAAGGTATGCACATATCAAATGTATAACGCACATTAATAAATTAAGAACTGATCAGAAATAGTTTTTTTCACTTTATGATAAAGCTTAATGGCATTATATTGAGTCATGTATAGTGTGTGTGTATGTGTGTGTGTGCATGCACATATGCATGTGTTTTGACAGTAATTTACATAAAGACTGTTTGTGCCATCTCACAAGGAAGTTTCCTAAAACATCTACATTGAAATCTTACTGATTTTTAATATTCTTAAATAATTTTAAATAATTTTTATCTGTGTTCTTTGATAGAGCACATAACATTTCTTTACTTCAATTTTAGGCAAGTCTGTTCGGAGTATTGCAGCATAAATTCAGCACCAGAAAAGTAAACACAGATGGCTGAGGCTTCATTTAACTTCTTTATAAACATATAAAGTAATTTTTACAATACCAGTTGTAGATTTCTCCAACATAGAGCAAACTCAAACAGAAGCAGACATGTTACAGGTTCAGAACAGAACTCTAGTTTTCAGCAAGCAAGCAAGACAAACAGCAGAGGAGAGAAGCGATTTCATTTTCAGTAGACAGACTCAGAACTTAACATTGCTTCAGAGCTGCAGAGCTTAATATATAGCCACACCTAGACTACTTTTAGTTTCAGTTTCCAAACAGTCCTCATTGGCTGACTTAGTTGCTATGCCTATTCATTGACTGAACTTGTTACATGCTCTATTCCAGTACATGAATATACTCTGACAAAGTCATATATCACTTTTTCTAAAAAAAAAATCCATTGATTCTGCTTCTTGTTTACCTCTCATCATCCACATTCAAACTTTTTATTATTTGTTGTTGCAAATCTATATCATATCTATGAAGTAGTACAAGCACTAAACTGATATTCTAATTCCTTAAGCATCTTTATAGAAGAAAAAGTTGGTTCCTGCATGTAAATTGGGATTTTAATAGAAAGCATCTCAAGGCTGCATAGGGGACAGTTAGTAGGGCTCAATTTCTTCCATTTGTTTGGAAGAATAATTAGCTTTTATTCAGCAACACTCATTTCATCATGTATTGTATAAGTAAGTCTGTCTGCTTTAGAGAAAACAATCAACTGACCAACAAAATAAAATAAAATAAAAATGGCTCCGTTTTCTCTAGATCCAAAAACATATAATCCCTCTGACCTGTTTATGGGCAATCAAGAAGCAGATGATGAGAGATGTGATCAGTGGTGGGATTAATTTATTTTTACTACTGGTTCTGTGGGTATGGCTTGGTGGGCCGGGCAGGAGAAGGATACTGTAAAATCTCCAGTTGAGAGGTGGTATTTGCCGGTTCTCCAAACTACTCAAAATTTCCACTACCAACTGGAAATAACTGGTCAGAGCCTGCTGAATACCATCTCTGGATGTGATCTTGGAACTATCATGAATATCATGCATTGTCAGTCCTCCATCAATTCTCTTTTTTTTACCCACATCAAAGCCATCTTCATCAACCTGAATGACATCCAGATTATGCAACCAAAGATGTTTTCAATTCCTAGCAGTCTCTGCTATAGTTATGCTGGCTGGAAATTTTGGGAATTTAAATCTATACATTTGAAGGGAAGATGGAATAAGGAAAGCTTATACATTCATACATATATGAATAGCCACTTTTTATGGTAATTTTATGGTAATCCACCTATAATTAATTTGGTTTTCAGTTCTGAATCTTTCATCATTCAGTATTATTGGATAACTGAGGGTTCTGATATTAAGAAAGAGGAAGAAAAACTGTTCATCCCACTTCCTCCACATAATTCAGAACTTTATAACCCCAAATAATATTTCCACTTCTTTTCTATTTATGTTAAGCCCCGTCACATATATTTTGTTTTTCTGACTTTCTTTCTCTGAATTGCCATACTGATTGATGAGTAACTGCTCTTAAAATTTTAAAATATAGCTAACATTTGGGAACATTGGAAAAGACCATCAACTATGTCTCCAAATTCCACTCCACCCCAATATTCCAGCTGATAGCCCCCCCCCAATAATAATAAAATGCTCAAACATAGATTGCAATAAGAACCTTTTATTCCCTGCCAATCAGAAACAATTTGGAGAATTAGAAATTTAAGATATGACATTCAACTTGGAGAAAAAGTATGTATATGAAAGAGAAGTGGGTTGTTCTTATAGTTTTAGATTATGGTATATGACATATGTATATCATATTGGCATATTATTATTGTGTTTTCCACTTGTTTTAAATATAAGTAGATAACTACAATTGATTGAGATCTTATCTTTAACTAGTTCTAGCCTGGTACTGAACATGATTTCCATTGGGTTTTAATCCAGGTATTTGCCTGGCTTGTGGTGTGGAGATTTTTTTGTTTGTGAGACAAAATCAGTAAGATACTACACAGGCATCACATCAAGACTGCCTTCAAAACAGACAGAAAAATAGCAGCCATCCTTAGAAACCCCAAAGATAAAATTGACGTGGAAAACCAAGGCATATATGAAGTCCCCTGTGCATCATGCTTCATGCCCGGCCACATACATTGGACAGACCAATAGAAGAATAAGTACCCGTCTGGATGAACACAAAAATGCAGTAAAAAAGCTGGAACACACTTCCTCACTAGTCCAACACATGAAAGCCACAGGTCATAGCATCAACTTCAATGGCACCAAAACCCTAGCCACTATAGAAAACCCCAGCCACAGAATTATCAGAGAAGCCATAGAGATTGAAAAAAGAGCTGAAAGCATGAATAGAAGAGATGATTCCACCAGACTGTCAATTATTTGGAAGCCTGCACTCACAAACAAAAAAATCTCCACACCACAAGCCAGGCAAACACCTGGGCACAAACAGATCCCCCCTGATACCTCCAGCTCAAACACACCCCAACCAGGCACCCAGATGAAACCTAGCTTCCTAACAAATGATAGCCATCCATTTACTCGGAGCCAAGCTGCACTAAAAGCCCCCAATACAGGAACACAATATTGCCAGCCAGCCAAGACAAAAAAGCCACAAAACAGACAGAAGATATTAGAAACACTAATCAAGCAGAACACAGCAAACTCCAAGACCAATAAACACAGACCAAGACTCCCAACCAATCAGGATGACGAAAAAACCATTCTGGCACAGCAGTAGGCTAGCCCCAAATTTAAAACTGAAATAACTGTAAAAGTCTGACTCACAGACGAACACAATACAGAAGCCTGATGATGGCAGATGAGATTCTGCATGTTTTGTACTTCTTAATCTAAACATAGGATTTATAAAATGGTCTGGAATAAATATTGAATAGGCAGTTGTGAACTGAGTAATTTAGAGATTAAAGGTAAAGTGAGGTGAAAGATTATTTTGGTCAGCAATATTTTCATGGAGAATAAGAACGTAAACTATCTAACAGAAAGGGATTGGGCACACTTTCTATTCAATAGGAATATTTTTTGTAGACACGGGGGAATATGCTTTCCTTAAAGAAAAGGCTCATCTAGAAAGCACAAATGGTGAACAAGGAAGAGCTAAACCATCATCAACATTCTTTGTTTTTATTAAGATCTTAGTTAAGAATATGACGGAAAAACAAAGGAAGGAACTGACAGACAGATTGAACATCCGATCACAAATAAAGTGAAATATTTGGTAATACAGCTTACAGCAAGATGTGGAACATTAAAGGAAGAAAATTATTATAAACTAAAAGAACAAACTGAAACAAGACCTGGAAAAATGGGGAAAAATTACAATTATCATTAATAGGGAGAATATCTACAATACAAATGAATATACTAAGGATATTATACTTGTTTCAGATGATTCCAATTAAATTAGGGAAAGATTACTTTGAGGATTTAAATAAAACAATGTTGAAATATATATGGCAGGGAAAGAAGGCAAGAATTAAATTAAAATTGTTACAGGATGCTAGAACGAGAGGAGGTTTTGGACTACCCAATTGGGAATTATACTACCAGGCAGCTATATTGATGTGGGTGAAAGAATGGATCATTAAAAAAAAATACTAGACTAGTAACACTGGAAGGTCATGATTTACAATTGGGGTGGCATGCATTTCTATGATATAAGTAAAGCAAAGTACATGGGTATTTTAGGAGACATTATATTCAAGATGCTTTACTGTCAACACATAGTTAGATATAGTAAAATTTTAAATGAAAAGGGTGAACTCAAAATAAAGCAACAATTAGATGAACAAGAGATAAAGATGAATTGGTATTCATATGTGCAAATACATTCTAGATATGATAAAAATAGTAAGATAGAAGGGTTTTACAAAAAACTTACTGAATTAGATAAAATCTTAACAGGTACTGAGGAGAAGATGATTAAAAAAGTGTATGGTTATTTACTAGGAGTGAAATTAGAAGAAGAACAAGTTAAAGAAACAATGATTGCTTGGGGGGAAATTTTGGATATAGGATAGATCTAGAAAAAAGGCAGAAATTATGGACTAGAAGCTGTAAATTAACAATGTCACTGTCAACTCTGGAATTCATCATTTCCATAGAGTTCTGGAGGGAGGAAGTGATATATTGAATAATTCTTAGAGATAAAAAATTATTATGAGTTATTAGTTCAAGGTCACAGAGAGTGGCATAGCAAAGAATTGAAATGCAGATCATTGATTCATGTGATTAATGAGGTGTAGAAAAGGGGGTGGAGGTAGGTGGAATTTTGTAGGTTGAGCTGGTAGGATTCCAGTATTGAAATTCCATCGGACGATGCTAGAATGTTTTGTTTCTAATAAAGCACTTTGAGATTATGTCGGCCCAGAGTTACTGTTTTGGAATGAAGGATTTCTGGATGTCTGACATTTATTTCAGTATTCATCATTGCTAACGGGCTTTGCTGATAACCCCAGAGACCTTCTTTGCAGCGATGAAAGAGGCTCAAGATTCAGCCTACTTTGAAGGTGAGCAGGAGGGTCATGGGGCCCCCCACAGCATCATCTGAATCATTCAGCACTCTTTTGGAGGAGATGATGGATGCTTTCAGACTTGCAGAGGAGGGAGAAGATTTGGGAGCCAGGCCAAGGCAGTCCAGTTCATGGGAGAGCTGTCGGACCACCTTAAACAGATAACCTGAAGAAAAAATCCTCCCTAGCTCTCTGCATGCAGCAAGGGAGGATGCCCAAATGGAGTCGGAACCCGCTTAAGAAGACAACCCCGAGATTTATTCTGGGAGCCAGTCATTAGCAGAGTTACCACAGCAATTCCAGCAATTAAGAGTGGGAGGTTTGGTCTCAAAGCCACAACTTATTGGGACAAGTTGGAGCCTGGCACCACCCACCTTCTCATTCCCAAAATGCATGGGGGAAGAGGAAATTGCCCAGATGCCGATTGGAGAGGCCCAGTGTGAAAGCCCATGCCAACAAGAGGTCCTGACTAACAGAGGTATGTTGCAACATCCAAGCCCTGCTCCCCACTCCCCAGAGAAGAGGTTACCCCCTGAAGAAAGTATCCCTCCAGGGTGGGGATTTTATCCAGGCCAGGGTGACTTCAGTGCCAATGGCTGCCAGCACCAACAAAGCCCTGATCTGAAGGCCCAGACAACAGACAGCAGCCACTCCCCCTCCACCAACCCAAAGGGAAAGGCAATGCCCACCTTCCTCCTGGCAACCACCAATTCAAACCCCACTTGGAGCAACCCTGCAGGGGCCCCATTTTCATAGAGGCACAACCCGGCCAAGCCTCAGGGGCCCCAGCCAATCTATATATGCAC